TTGGGTTGTATAGATTTTAAAGGTGATAAACTCTAATGAGTAGAAAAACCGTATTTATAGTGCTTTTATAATACATTTAAATGTAGAGAAGGGAAAAATCTCAGCTCCTACTTTGGTCATTCTCTTTAAATTAGCTCAAAATAATAGCCATTAATGATTACATTTGTATAATGTTTGCCTGCCATTTAGTAGTTTTTTCCAACTACTTTCTTGGTACCTCATCATTACCGGTTTTATGATGGAGGAAATTGAAAACCTGTGACATGCCCAAGGTCACATAGCAAGATAGTGACATTGTCAGTCACTTAATGTTATTCCCCAAACCTATACCCAATTGACCAGTTTATGTTTTTTGGATATTAACTTTTATTCCTCAAATCTATATAAGTTATACAAATAGCTTAACTTTTGTTTTAATTTTTTTTTTTTTTTTTTTTGGCAACTGGCTGGTATAGGGATCATAACCCTTGACCTTGGTGTTATAGTACCATGCTCTAATCAGCTGAGCTAACTGTCCAGCCCTTGATTTTTTAAAAAAATGAAAGTTCATTATTTATAAATAATCAATTTTGATGTGTAATTATATGGTATTTTTTCCTTCCTGTCAAGTATAATAGCTCATAGGAATCAAGGAGCTTTAAAAAATTCTTCTGGCCTGGTGAGAACAAATAAAATCCATGAGGGCAGGAATCTTTGTTTTATAGTTCCAAATGTCTAATGTCTGGCACATAGGTGTGCTGTAAATATTTGTATAAAAATTTGTTGAGTTCATAAATTATTTAGCCATTTCCTATTTGAATTATTTAAATCTTTAATAGTTAAGTTTAGATGTAGGGAGATTGTTCTGTCCTTTGGAAAAAGATTTTAGAATGAGGAGAGCAATCACTGCACTAGTTTAGTAAGAGATGGTTTAACTGTTGGACAGCTAGTCACTAACATAGTGCGTGCAGAACATTATAGGAGAGGAAAGTATGAGAAAGGATGGTGTTAAGGTAACAAATAAGCACGAATTCATATTATAAAGTAACTTGCTAAATATGAAGTTGGTCAATTGGAATTGCAAAAATGTTTTAAAGAACTATAGTTTTATTAGTTTGAAGTAATTATAGTTAGAATTAGGTTAATAAAGGGGACATATTTTAAAATAAATAGATAATGATGTTTTATGAGCATATCAAAGCATGAGCCAAAGCAATTAGTTTTAGCTTAAATCAAGGTTACAGCATTTACACATAAAGTATGTAGCTGTTTTTTCTTTAGTAAATATTTTCTTCAGTAAGTATTTTTTGCCTCTTATGGGCTATCATTTACTAAAAGCATCACAAAATATAACAAAGGAAGACCTGACACTCTGAATTTCATTTATAATACAAAATACTACTAATAATACTAATAATTGCTTAAGAACTAGAGAGGGCATGGAGGAGAGATCAAAATTTGATATGTAAGAAAATGAAAGGATGGGATAGGAAATTGTGTAGGAGGAGAAAAGCATCCCAAGGTGGAGGTAAGAGAGAATGTAAAGGTGTTACGTATTCAACAATATTTATTAAGAGCCTGTTATGGTGTATGCTGGGAATATAGCACTGAAAAAACGTAGGCCAAGTCCTTGCCCTCATGTAGCTTACACTGTCTATTCAGACAATATAATGTCAAATAGAGATAAAATGCTATGAAGAAAAATCAACCAGGATAAGGGAATAGAGATAGAGAATGATAGTGAGAGAAGAGATGGTTTGTTTTAGAAAGGGGCATTGGAGCAAAGACCTGGACTAAGTGAAGAATCAAGTCCTGAAGATACCTGGAGCAAGATACCAGGCAGAGCGCCAGTAACTAGACATTCAGGTGTAGAAGACTACTGTAGGCCACACATGATACCAGAAAGATATAGGACAGGAGCCACAGCTTGCATTAGAGCAGTCTTAGATGTTTCTTTTCGACTTGAATCCTTGTGGCATCAGGGAGTAAGTGATGTTCCACACTGGGCAGGTATGGATCCTGTCTCATAGCTTCATGCCCACAGGAGCCAATATCTCTTATACCAACTCTCTAGTGAGTTTCTAGGGTTCCAGTTTAGGGAAACCCAAAGTGTGATGTCCCCATAAGGTCTTTATAGTTCTCCAGTCCATATGCAGTCTACTAGTCGGGTCATTTTAATTATATACGGTGCTGCTTAGCAATATAGTTGTCAGGTTGTCGGGATAACAGAGCTAGTCAGTTAAGTGAAGGTCAGATTTTCACGCAGAGGGAAGGGTTTGGGTAGCCCTTTTGTCCGCAGCTTTGTTGTTTATTGTTCTTTGATTTCTACTTCTTGAAAAAGTTCATCAAGCGTTGCCAATCCTCAGGTGCTGATGGGAATGGATATATGGTCAGGATTTAGATATGAATGAATTCAACTTCACTTGGAAAAAAAAACAACAGTGAGGTGGAGAGCCTTAGTGCCTTGCATCTTAAACCGTGGTCTTACCGGGAATGGATATATGGTCAGGATTTAGATATGAATGAATTCAACTTCACTTGGAAAAAAAAAACAACAGTGAGGTGGAGAGCCTTAGTGCCTTGCATCTTAAACCGTGGTCTTACTATTCTCCACCCCCTCATTTCTTACCCACTGAACATCAGCACCACCGAAGAACTTAGTAGAAGTGCAGGTTCTCAGGCTTACTGAATCAGAACCTCTGGGCATTGGGAGGTCAGGCAGTCTATAATGAGCCCTCTAGGTGATGCTAATGAAAGCTAAAGATTGAGAACCACTGTGGTAGAGGACACAAAGTTAAATGAAAAGCCTGCTCTAAGAGGGTTGACTGTCTAGAAGGGAGATGCAAATGTGAAGATAAAATATTGTCATGTACTGTGGTCAAGTGTTAAAATGTGAGGGTACTTCAAAAAGTTCATGGAAAGATTTGAGTATCTTTCAGTTCTATTTTACCATGAGCTTTTTGAAGTACGCTTGTAGAAATACAAGTAGGAATATAAAGGAAATATATATGACTAAAATAAAAGGCAGAGAATTCAGCTCTCAGAGTAAGAGAAACTTGCAAACAAGGAGACAGAGGAGTGTCCTGGAGCATAAACAGTGTGGTCCTGGTTAGATACTGTACTTAAAATAATGTAATTATAGCATAGATTTATGGGTTAAATTGACTTTGGTGGTGTGGCCTCAGAATCTAACCAGTTCCAGATGACCAACTTTTAATAGACTTTTGGAGCACAGTTGGTAAATATTCTTAATGGTTCCTAGATATGAAGATAACTTGATTTCTGTAGAGAGTTGTATTTAGTTATTTAAATTTTCAGAGCTCTGTATTAAAAGGCAAAATGTTTCAGTTGGATTTTTTTATTTAAAAAATGTCTCATTTGACATTTTCACTGAGTTTATTCAGAGTCCATTGAGGATAAATTATTAATTGTTGTAGAGAGTTTAAAAAGGGCAGTTTGTATAAGTTGATTTTGTGACACCGCTGAGGAACTTCATTTATATTGAGGTTTTTATAATTCTAAAAATCCTCCAAATGAGTTGAAGTTAAACTCAATTTAATAACAGATGCTGCACAACACATTTAATGAATGATAATATGTATTATAAAAACATAGCATCATAGGTGGTTCATCTATTAAAGGTTAGAAAACATTTGTTTAAGGTAAAAAGGTGCTGTGGCAGCCCAGGGTATTACTATATTAGGATTTTAATTTGTAAAAGATTAAGCTAATGTTTGTGGACTCACAGCTTTTCTTCAGCCAAAATTTAAATAGAATTATTAAAAACAAAAAAATCAAAGTTGAACTCCACCCTACACATTGGAGTGCTGCTAGGGTATATCTGTGCTGTTTAAATTGCCTGGTTATGTTAAAGAAACATCAATTTTTACTTGATTCTCTTGCATTGTGTGTTTATTCTTTGGATCATCTTAGCTTATGCTTTTGATAAACTTAATATTAAAAAATTCAGAATCTTAAGTATTTTAGAGTTCGGATATACCTCATCCTACTCATCCTTTTACTGAAAGAGGAATCCTTTCTTATAGTAACCTTCAATCTGTCACTATACCCAGTTCCATCAACAGTGCTCCTCTGTTGTGTTTATTCTTGTGACTGCAGAACAACTCTCCATCCCTGTAAATCTTGGGTTAATCATCCACTCCAGGTTGGGTTGGGGAAAGAGGAGGTGGGGTCTTGTTGCACTATGCATTCCTTCCTAAACAAATAGTAAAGCACTAAAAAGTAAGTAAACAAAAACAAAGTAAACAGTAACAAAAGGCAAAATCAATAGATAAGGTAGATACTTCATGTATATATTTGAGCCGAATATGATTTGGTGGCCTCTTAGGTTTCTTCTCACAATTGGTAAGCTCTCTGTATTGACCGGTGGCTAAGTTTGATTAGAATTCTCCTCTAGGTGGTAATTATATTCTAATATTTTATCATGTTATTGTTCCCTCCAACTTCAAATGATACAGAAGAGTTGCCAGGTTTCTCTTTGACATCAGATCTGTTCTTGATTTGGAATGCAAGTTGGGAGAAGTGTTGCTTCATGAATACAAGGACCATGATGACTTATGAGTATTCTTCCACTAAAGATAACTAAGATTAAGAATTTTTTTGGGCTGGCCAGAAAGTTCACTTGGTTGGAGCTTGGTGCTGATAACGCCAAGGTCAAGGGTTCAGATCCCTGCACCAGCCAGCCACCAAAAACAAAACAAAACTAACTAAATAAAATACATACAAAGAAATTCATGATGAACAAAATATCAAAATTAAAAGAAAAAAGAATTTTTTGAAGTAACCTCTATATTAGATGGTATAGAATTTATTTGAATTTTTTGCCAGATTCTCATGTCTAAAGTCTGATCTATTAAATTCATTCTTGGTGTTTGATTTTGAAAATAATGTAGGTTTAGCAAACCTCTTTGTATAACAAATTGAGATTATATTCAAGTTTTAGGATATTGTTATATCATTATTTTCAAAACTTACAAGTTTTTTTTTTTTTAACCTTTTAGCCGGCCTCAGAAAGTGTGTTTGTGTCCATTTTTACCAGTGCACCCTCTGCATATCTCTACCTACTTGTACATAATTCAGCATCCAGCAGAGGTAAGATTTTGTAAGATATTACAATTTCAGGTAGATTGTGAATGCACAAGAGAAAACAGACTGATAAACATACTCATCTGTCTAACTCTTTAGCGTTTCTGAAAATAAATTGATAATAAACTCTTTCTCTTTGGGAAAAAATAGAGATTGTGAATGCACAAGAGAAAACAGACTGATAAACATACTCATCTGTCTAACTCTTTAGCATTTCTGAAAATAAATTGATAATAAACTCTTTCTCTTTGGGAAAAAATAGTTTTTTTTTTAATAGATTATGTGATAGTGTAGGGTCATATGCTTTAGAGACAGATAAACTGTGATATTGAATAGTATAGAAATTCAGAACTTCAACAATTTTGGATGAAGAAAAGATGATATTTTTGTGAGTAAAGAGCTAAAAAAAATTGCTTTTTAAATTTTGGTCATAGCTTATGTTCCTTGATGTCTTTTCTAGCTAAAGTAGAACTAACTTGGCATTTTAGTCTTATGAAATGAATATATAAATACATTTTTGTTTCTTGTAGATGAATAGAACAAGCATGTATATTTTATAATATAAAGACTTTTTAATTAATAATTTTCTATACTGGTTAGAATTATGCACATGCCAGTGTGTATGAGTGTTTAATTTTCTTCATTACTAACTGCAGTAATGAAGAGGGGAGGGAAGGAGAATATAGAAAACCGTAAATACAGTTAATACAAAACTAGTTAATGCATGGTATAAAATGGATTTAGTGTAAACTAAAGTTAAAACTCTTCTCGTATTTAGGAATTCAGGACATCGTAGATCCAGTCACACTTTTGAAGAAGTAATAATTATTTTTTAAATTTCTGAAGCCTATATCATTTGAAGACTTTAATAAAGATATAAAAAAATTAATCTTTTACATTTTTTCAAATGATGAAACACTTATTCTTTTATTGCAAATTGTAACTATTCCATTTGTTCCACGACCTCATTTTTCCATCTTAACAACAATGTGCTTTTGTCAGGATTTTGACAATTTAGTCATTAGCATTGTTTACTGTATTTAAACTTACAACACTGCCTCGCTCAAATTTACATAAAATAGTAGCTTGCTGGCCATAGCAGTTTTGGTTAAAACCTGACTTTTTGTGGTGAATGCTCTTTTAATTTTGCAGTACGCATAGCATGGTGCCTTTTTATTATCGTGTGATTCTGGACATAAGATGGTTTTTAAAATGTGGGTGTTTTCATTGATTTGTGGCAGTTTTAATGTTTTCACTTTCCTTATTTTTTTTAATTTACTTTTTACCACAATTAATCCACGGCTTAGATGATCAGTCCATAACGTGTGTGCTACAAATGTTTTTTATGCATACACAAGTACATCCATGCTGTTTTTTCTTATCAACAAGGGAACTTTCCAGTCTTCATCTAACTCAGTAAAACAGGGCTGCCTGTGCTTAACCTCAGCACTGTTTTCGATAATGTCAATTTGATGACTTCCCCATAAATAAGTGATCATAAACCATTTGGATAGGCTCTAGGAAGGGGCTTTGGGAAAAGAAGACTTGATGGAGTAGAAGATATGGAGGTGATATGATGGAGCATTTGAAAGATTAGTTTATGTATGTAGAAAGTTATTTAAGGATAAAAACAAAACAGTTATCAAAAATAACAAAAATCTTCACGAAAAAGAAGTGTTATGTTAAACTACTTGGCCTTTATGAACAACGTATATTTAACCATTATGTTGTAAACACTGCTTAATTGATTTAACTAAAAATATTAGAAGATGTGAGAGTAAGGAGTGGTCTAAGTGAGCTAAATCCTTGGGCTGGCTGCTTAACTCAGTTGGTTAGAGCATGATACTGATAACACCAAGATATAGGGTTTGATCCCTGTACTGGTCAGCCACCAAAAAAACAAAACAAAACAACAACAACAAAAATCCTCATTTGTTATGAGAGGCTGTAATTATAAAGTATAGTAGTTAAGGAGCCAGATTGCCTGAGTTCAAATCCTTGATGGCTCTAGAAACTTTGTAACCCTGTGCAAGTTAATTAACCTCTTGTGCTTCAGTTTCCTTGTAAGCAAAATGGACATGACACAAGACATTTCTTTACAGGTTCATTGTGAAAAGTAAAAATTAACCTCTTGTGCTTCAGTTTCCTTGTAAGCAAAATGGACATGACACAAGACATTTCTTGTGAAATGTGAAAAGTAAATTGTGAATTGAACATATACACACACACACACATTTACACTTAAATTTGTGTACATTAATGTGAGTTGTTATGATGATATTGGTAGTCTGTAGGTAATATCTAAAACCGATAAATCAAGAAATAAGACATATATGGAAACATGGAGATAACTACCTGAAGAAATAGCTAAAAGAGTTAAAGTGATTGCCTCTGGGAAGTGGTACTGGGGAGTACATCTGGGAATAGCTGTGGCATTTTAAATCTTTTGGCACTATTTAATTTGACATATATACATGTATTACTTTGATAAAAGTTTGGAAAGTGATTAAGTCTGTGTCAGAGTCTCATAGTGATGGTAAGGAGGGGAGAACACTACATGAAACATTGGAAAATGTCCTAATACCCACCTAAGGTAGAGTAGCTAGTCACCTGGCTCTACAGGATTAAGGATAGAATTCTTACGGCAACAAGAAAGGTGGTTTCTAGTATTGAAAGCTATGACATTGAAAAAAATCACTGATGATAGTCAAGTTAATGGAATTTTCCAAAATGGTCACCAGATTTCTCTAAAGTTACTATTTTGTTCACTTTCCATACTGTATATTCTTTGGAAGCAAGGCCATAATTCCAGCCCACACTCAAGTGGGAGGGAGAGATTATGCTCCATTTACTGGATTAAGGAGTATTTATGTTTGTTATTTAGAATTCTTCTGTAAGGAAGATTTTTTCCTTCTCCCTTGTTTGTTTATCCAATCGTTTATATCATTCTGGACTCTGTTTTAACTTGGGTTATAATCCGATCATGTCATCTGTTTTGCTGTTCAAATTATTCTATTTTGGCCATTAAGAGCTCTTTAAGAGTGGCTTCTGTGTCACTTTGATATGCCTCATTATTTTTTGAGTACTCCTTTGCTTTTTGGGCATAAAGATCTAGGCAATTATCTTCAAGCTAACATAGTACAAAATGTAACTACTATCAAAATAAAAAGTTTGTCGGAATAAATGATTAATTTTTGTTAAACACAAATTTACTTTTTCATAATCCTAACTATTATACATATTAATGTTATTTGATTAGAAAACCTGTAAACATACCCAAATGTGATAAACAGGTGTGTTTTAATTATCCTTAATAGTGATAAGTCAGAGGCTGCCCAATTAGCTAAGAGTGAGTTGCTGATGACACCAGGGTCCAGGGTTAGATCTCTGTACTGGCCAGCTGCCAAAAACCCCAAAATACAAACAAAAAGCCCCCCATAATAGTACTGGCAAATTGGAAAAAATTTACCTCTTTTTATTCAACTGTAGTAAAAGACTTGTGAAAATTATATGTTGGTTCTGTACCAGCTAACCAAAAAAAAAAAAAAAAAGCCAAAAAAACCCAACAGAAAACTTATATGTAAGGTTATGAGTCAGATATTCATCATAAAAGTTATAAAAGTGTGTTTATCTAAGTAAAATTCTATGTTTTAATTAATTTTTTAATTAAAGGAAAACAAAGTGTTGCGGACAGTTCCTCTACTAGCAGCATGCCTCCCCCAGGACAAGTGTAAAGTAAAGATTGGTCGTCGCTTCAGTGAAGAAAGGTAAATTAACTCTTAGGGCAATTTAAAATAATTCATTTCTGCGTAGATCTTTAAAAATGGTTTCCTTCAACTTATTCATGAGACCCAGAACATGGTACATTGGAAGTTGTCAAAAAATTTAAGTTCAGCCTTCCTTCCAAACAAAATAATAGAAGTCAAAACAAAACAAAAACAGAAACAAAAAAGAAACCCACACACTGAAATGTTCTAAAAAGGGGAATATTGAATTATCTGAATTTCATAGTAATATATGTTGAATCTGAAGGGGAAATATATTTTATTTCATTTTTGTTAAAGGAGCCTTTAAGTTGGTAGGGTATTAGGTTTAATCCAGTTTTTTCTTTTCTTTTTAAAAAAAAAATTTTTTTTTTTTTCAAAAGGCGACTGGTAAGGGGATCGTAACCTTGGCTTGGTGTTGTCAGCACCACGCTCTCCTAAGTGAGCTAACTGGCCATCCCTATATAGGGATCCGAACCCGTGGCCTTGGTGTTATCACCACCACACTCTCCCAAGTGAGCCACCGGCTGGCCCCTTAATCCAGTTTTTTCTGTGGTGCCTAATATATTGCTTACTCAGTAAATTATTCTGATGAATTTTATATTAAAGCAGATTAAGACTATTGATTTGATGTTGATCTGGTAACTGGATGACTAATTTAGGCTTTTGTTAAAGTATGTGATGTAATCATAGGAGAATGATTAAGAGACATACTGCTTTTGGTGTCCTTTGTAATGGAATTTAAAAATAATCATTTTCTATTTTTTTTTTGCCTTTAGTATATAAGAAAACAATTGGTTTTTGTGTATTAACTCTGTATCCAGTGACTTTTTAACTTGCCCAGGTCATAGCGAATTAGAGGGAGATCCTGGATTTTCTTTCTTTTTTTTTTAGTGGCTGGCTGGTATGAGGATCTGAACCCTCGACCTTGGTGTTGTAACACCATGCTCTAACCAGCTGAACTAACAGACCAGCTCTCCAGTGACTTTCTAAATTTATTTATTAGTTGTAGAAATTGTTTTGTACATTCCTGGAACTATTTTTTATTATCTGCAAGTAGGGTTATTAATACTTCTTCCCTTCTGATATTTATGCTTTTTATTTCTTTTTCTTGCCTATTGCAATAACTGGGGCCAGTATTGGGCACAGTACAATGTTTATTAGAAGTGGTGTAAGCCAACATCTTTACCTTGATTCCAATCTCAGGGGACATTGTTAAATATTGATATTTAATCATTGATATTGATTGTACATCTCTCTACCCCCTCAGCTTTGTTGAAGTATAATTGACAGATGAAAATTGCATATATTTACAGTATACAATGTGATGTTTTGATGTATGTATATATTGAAATGATTACCACAATCAAGCTTATATTTGACATATCCATCACTTCACATAGTTCTTATAATTTGTTAAAGACCTTAAATAATATTGAGAAGAACATTGTAGTGTGTGGATGTGTCAGGTGAGAAACAAAGAGGAAGTAAAGCCAAAATGCATGAAGTGAAAGAAATTTATTACTCCCGGATTGATTAGGGTGCCAGTGGGAGGCAACTGGAACTCTGGAGGTGGCAGGTCACTCAGTCATTGAGTGGGGAAGGTGAGGGTTGAGGGGAGACCTTTGGGAGTATGCCTTTATTAAAGTCCATGGGCATTATCCCCTAGGCTTTCCTTCATGGGTTGTAGATTGGCTAGTTTAAAGAAAACAGTGGGAAGGGAGAACTTACTCACATGACTCTGGTGTTGATCATTAAGTTTTATTGTGGTCTGCAGCCTGTGGTGTGTTGGGTTTGGGGTTAGTGAGGAACAAGTGGGCTGTATGGTAAACACCCACATGGGAAAGGGAGGTTTTAACTAGGCCGAAGGTGACAGGGCCTGACTGGTTTGCAGACAACTTATGTGAGGCCTAAAATGGATGCCAAGGCAGCAACTATATTAAACAAGTTTATAACAATAGTTGTCCTTTTTGTTGTTGTTTTTTTGCAGTGAGAACATTTAAGATCGACCCTCAGGCCGGCCCCGTGCCTCACTCAGGAGAGTGCGGCGCTGGTAGTGCCGAGGCCGTGGGTTCGGATCCTATATGGGGATGGCTGGTGCGCTCACTGGCTGAGTGGTTTGATTTATTAAGGGAAAATTTTGGTTTCTTGGCTTATTAGGGATTTGGGTTGATAATTTTGTTGTAAGCTTTTTGTATCAGGTTCATGCTGGCCTTATACAATGATTTGGTCATTTTCTACTCATCTGTTTTCAAAAAGAATTTATGCTCACTTAGTTTCGAGCATGATGTTGGTAACACCAAGGTCAAGGGTTTGGATTCCTGTAATCGGCCAGCCACCAACAAAAAAACCAACAACAACAAACAGCAGAAATAACAAAAATAATTTATGTATAATTTTACTATTTTTTTCCTCGAATGTTTGATAGAATTCACCAGATAAACAGTCTGATTCTTGAGTTCTTATGTGTGGGAAGGTTCATTCTTGCAAATATAATATATATATTAAATGTAAGGAAATTCACATTTTCTATTTCTTTTTCTGTTAGTTTTGGTAATTTGTACCTTTCAGAGAAATCGTACATGTTACCTATATTTTTGAATTTATTGTCATAAAGTTGTTTGTAGAATTTCTTTATTATTTTTTTATGTCTGTAGAATCTGTAGTGATAGCCTCTTTTTCATTCCTGATTTAGGTAATTTGTGTTATCTTTCTTCTTAATCTGTCTCAATCAGTCTTTTTAAAGAACAACGATTTGGCTTTGCTATTTTTTTCTGTTCTTTGGTTTTCTGTTTGATTGATTTCTACTCTTTGTTATCTTTTTCTGCTTGCTTTGGATTTAATTGCCTCTTCTTTTCATAACTCTCAGAAGAAAATTAGGTAATTGGTTTTAGACCTTTCTTTTTTGTTCATATGAACATTTAATCTGTAAATTTCTTCTCTTAATCATTGCTCTAGCTGCACCTCACTACTTTTGTTATGTTGTATTTTTGTTTTTGTTCAGATCAAAATATTTTCAAGTTACTTTTGTGATTTCTTCTTCAGCACATAGATTATTTAGAAGTGTGTTGCTTACTTTGCAAGTAATTGAGGAAATTTTAGATGTATAACATTATTTTTATTTCTATTCTAATTTATTCATACTCTGTGATTTCAAGTTTTAAAATATTACTAAGACTTGTTTTATATTCCAGTGTATGGACTATTTTTTGGTGACTTCTTAATGCACAAGAAAAGACTGTGTATTCTTTAGTTGTTAGAATTTTGTAGTGTTACACAAATATCATTTAGGTTAAGATGATTAATAGTGTTGTTCATATCTTCTGTATTCTGACTGATTTTATNTGTTAAAGGAGCCTTTAAGTTGGTAGGGTATTAGGTTTAATCCAGTTTTTTCTTTTCTTTTTAAAAAAAAAATTTTTTTTTTTTTCAAAAGGCGACTGGTAAGGGGATCGTAACCTTGGCTTGGTGTTGTCAGCACCGCGCTCTCCTAAGTGAGCTAACTGGCCATCCCTATATAGGGATCCGAACCCGTGGCCTTGGTGTTATCAGCACCACACTCTCCCAAGTGAGCCACCGGCTGGCCCCTTAATCCAGTTTTTTCTGTGGTGCCTAATATATTGCTTACTCAGTAAATTATTCTGATGAATTTTATATTAAAGCAGATTAAGACTATTGATTTGATGTTGATCTGGTAACTGGATGACTAATTTAGGCTTTTGTTAAAGTATGTGATGTAATCATAGGAGAATGATTAAGAGACATACTGCTTTTGGTGTCCTTTGTAATGGAATTTAAAAATAATCATTTTCTATTTTTTTTTTGCCTTTAGTATATAAGAAAACAATTGGTTTTTGTGTATTAACTCTGTATCCAGTGACTTTTTAACTTGCCCAGGTCATAGCGAATTAGAGGGAGATCCTGGATTTTCTTTCTTTTTTTTTTAGTGGCTGGCTGGTATGAGGATCTGAACCCTCGACCTTGGTGTTGTAACACCATGCTCTAACCAGCTGAACTAACAGACCAGCTCTCCAGTGACTTTCTAAATTTATTTATTAGTTGTAGAAATTGTTTTGTACATTCCTGGAACTATTTTTTATTATCTGCAAGTAGGGTTATTAATACTTCTTCCCTTCTGATATTTATGCTTTTTATTTCTTTTTCTTGCCTATTGCAATAACTGGGGCCAGTATTGGGCACAGTACAATGTTTATTAGAAGTGGTGTAAGCCAACATCTTTACCTTGATTCCAATCTCAGGGGACATTGTTAAATATTGATATTTAATCATTGATATTGATTGTACATCTCTCTACCCCCTCAGCTTTGTTGAAGTATAATTGACAGATGAAAATTGCATATATTTACAGTATACAATGTGATGTTTTGATGTATGTATATATTGAAATGATTACCACAATCAAGCTTATATTTGACATATCCATCACTTCACATAGTTCTTATAATTTGTTAAAGACCTTAAATAATATTGAGAAGAACATTGTAGTGTGTGGATGTGTCAGGTGAGAAACAAAGAGGAAGTAAAGCCAAAATGCATGAAGTGAAAGAAATTTATTACTCCCGGATTGATTAGGGTGCCAGTGGGAGGCAACTGGAACTCTGGAGGTGGCAGGTCACTCAGTCATTGAGTGGGGAAGGTGAGGGTTGAGGGGAGACCTTTGGGAGTATGCCTTTATTAAAGTCCATGGGCATTATCCCCTAGGCTTTCCTTCATGGGTTGTAGATTGGCTAGTTTAAAGAAAACAGTGGGAAGGGAGAACTTACTCACATGACTCTGGTGTTGATCATTAAGTTTTATTGTGGTCTGCAGCCTGTGGTGTGTTGGGTTTGGGGTTAGTGAGGAACAAGTGGGCTGTATGGTAAACACCCACATGGGAAAGGGAGGTTTTAACTAGGCCGAAGGTGACAGGGCCTGACTGGTTTGCAGACAACTTATGTGAGGCCTAAAATGGATGCCAAGGCAGCAACTATATTAAACAAGTT